AGAAACCCCGAAAAGATGCAGGTCATTGATGCTTACCACCTTGTTGAAGCACACGATCACGGGAATGGTGCTAAGAACCCTAAAAAGATAAATCGGGCCAATTTGGGATTCGAACCTATGATCATCGATTTCTGGTCTTTAGGTTCACAGTTCTGCACAGTTATTGCGGTGTCACAGAAAACTGGGCCACCTATGACCCTCAGGTGCCATGGGTGGACCTACTCAATAAGTATTCATGGAAGTGAATGTTATGGCTGGCCTGTATGAGGCGACATTTGTCGTCTTCAATCAATCAATGTATATTCAGAATGATAGAACATATTAATGAGTGGCTGAAACGTTCTGCGCCAAACTATGCTTATCGCAATAGGCGACTAACGGCATCGGGTGGTCAGACTCGCTGACTTGGTTGATGCATGTCATCGTTTCTTAATTGTGTATAGATCGATGCTCATGATGTCAATCATGGGGTTGTCTTGTCCGGACTCGATTATTTGCAGACCGCCATCATGTAGCTGGAATATTACCGAGTGTGGCGTTAATTATAAACAACAAACAAAAACCTAGGGTATATGTTTCACGCAGGTGCCAACACAGATCAGCATGTATTGGCTATTAATGGTAGCCAACCAGTCGGATTCATCAACAAAATCAGCTGATCTTCTTCAAAACGACGTAAATTATAAAGCTTTGAATCCAATATTCCATCTATATGACAGCGGTATGTAAATAATAGAGTCTGGAACAGACAATCCAGTGATTGATATCATGAGCATCGTTCCACGCGAATGGGATACGATGACAGACATCAACCAAGTCAGCGGCGTTAAACAGCTCATTTAACATCTGGTGATGGAGCACGGCATTTTTGTCAGAGGTAGATTATTACTTTCTCTGAAATGAGTAGCTGAACAATTCTTTGTTTTCACAGATGTTGTAAACGAATTGTGATACTCACCTGCAGTAAAAGCTCAGTTTGTCATCATCGATAAGGTTCTCATATGTTCGTCCTCGCAGGATCCTGATGATTGGTGCATATACGTTATCACATGAAGTAAAAGGGGAACCAAGAGCTGATTCTGGTCCACTCTCTCTCCTTGTAAGCCACTCAAGACCGCACACTGGGAAATCATCACAAACAAGGATAAACGCTTCAACGAACTATAGCAGGTATGGTCTTTACAAAACTTTGACGATGCATTTATGAATTTTTTTAGATATACTGAGTCAAATTAAAAACTTCACATTTTTAAAAGTAATCCCATATATGATATACAACGGACAAATGTATCAGAGAAGGTATTTTTAATCACAAATGTCCAAAGAAGGATTTTAAATAACGGTGGTAACCATAATTTGTTCCAAGCACCTACGGTATTCGGTAATAACATCAACAGTTTAAATCATAAGTCCCAAGCATGAGAATCTGATGGCACACAAGTTCAGTAGCGTGTATGGCCACCATGTGCGTTGACAACTGCCACACAACGCCTCCGCATGGACCTTGTGATGCTTGTGAACACATGATTGGGAAGACGACGCCATTGTTGCTGCAAAATGGTGCCAAGATCTTGCAAATTATGTGGTTGGTTCTGGAGAGTGCGCAGACTTCTGCCAAGAGCATCCCAGGCGTGTTCGATGAGATTGAGGTCGGGAGACCTTGACGGCCAGTCCATGACGTTGACTCCCGCATTCTGAAGGAAATTCCTTGTCAAAATTGCTGTGTGGGGTCTGGCATTGTCGTGTTGGAAGATCAAACCGGGTCCATGTGCTGCCATAAAAGGCAGAAGTTCTGGTGCTAGTACCTGGTCGCGGTAAGCAGTAGCGTTGAGGTTGCCACGGATGACAAGAAACCTGGAACGTGCATTGCCACAGAAAGCACCCCACACCATGACACTTCCGCCTCGAAATCTATCAACCTCCTGTACACAACATTGGGCGTAACGCTCATGACGGCGCCTCCATACCCTCGCCCTACCATCAGCAAATCGAAGATTAAATTGGGATTCATCACTGAAGACGACTTGATTCCACTTCCTCTGGGTCCATCGTAAGTGTCGCTGTGCCCACAATTGACGTTGACGTCTGTGTAATTGAGTCAGAATCGGCCCGCAGTATGGCCGTCGTGCTTGATTGTGAGCAGTTCTCAGACGGTTTCGAACAGTTTGCGCTTTCAGTCTACCCCTAAACAGTTCATTTCTGGTTGATGTAGCCGTCAGAAATCGGTTACGGAGGTGACGTAAGACAATCTGACGATCCTCCGCATGTGACGTCACACGTGGTCGACCTGGCCGAGGGCGGTCAGTGTTGGTACCCGTTTGCTGTAGACGCGTCTGTAAATCATAAACAGTCCGTCGACTACAACCCATCGTCCTTGCAACTTCAGCTACGGACGTTCACGTTGCACATTTGAAAGGCGTAGCATGACAAATGGCCGTAAAGACTTTTGTTTTCTTGTGTTTTTCATTTTTTGTTAATGACTGCTAACAAGTATGGCTGAAAACACGTGCGGTATTATGGCCACGTGACCAGTCGCACGTGAAAAAACACTTTTGCCACTGTAGTGCTCTGCACATGATTTTGATCGATTCACCTGCACAAAAACGGGTGTTATCTGAAGACAATACTGGCCATTACTGCTTAAATACACAATAAGGGCCCACAATGATAACTGGTCAAAATGTAAAAATTTTAGGATTGTGAAGTTTTTAATTTGGGATTGTGAAGTTTTTAATTTGGTTCAGTATATATGTGAGGTATTATGACCGCAATAGTCTTTACCAATACGTTGATGCTGCATCGTATGTGACATCGTATGTGACATCGTATGTATCTAAAAGGTTTTGTCATAGCAGGATGCCTCAACACGAAGCGGCATGCTGATTGTTGATTGGTTGTTTGTTGTTTAACGCCACACTCTGTAATATTTCAGCTACATGATGGCAGACTAATGTAATGATAAGATACATGGGTAGGTGAACTTACAGTGTGTACCTCTAGATGCCTAATGATAAGATACATGGGCAGGGGAACAGTTGGTTGGGTGGTTTATTGTTTAACGCCGCACTCAGCAATATTACAGCTTTATGACGGTGGTCTGTTAATAATCATGTCTTGACCAGACAACCCAGTAATTTAAATCATGAACATCGATCAACACAATTGGGATAGATGACATGCATCAACTAAGTCAGCGAGTCTGACCATCCGATCCTGTTGGTCGCCTAGCCTCTTACGACACGCATAATTGCCTTTTAGGTCAAGCATGGGTTGCTGAAGACCTATTCTACCCCGTATCTTCTGTTATGTCAAGATTAATTGAGAAGGAGACTTTCACGTAACGTGGAAGACAAAGGATTTACCATTAGGACGAATAGGGGATTCAAAGCAATGACAAATGGGTACTGATATGAGTAAGGTCTGCAACTCTATGCAACGTTTTGTGGCTCGGCAGTCTGGAATATACATGTACATATACAGTGTTCGAAATACCTGCCTGCCCGACCGTCTGAGACGGGTTGATTTCAACTCGGGCTGCTAGATTTTCAAATCCCCCTGCCCGACGGTCGGGTTATATTTCATATGTGACAATATTCTAAATATATCCCGATGATAAGCATTAATTCACATGTAAAGATGAATGATAAAATGTAACCAAAAAGAAACCCCGTTAGCTTATCCCGAGAAACATATGATTATAGTGGGCAGGCAGGTTTTGGTCAGGGCTGGCAAGTATTTCAGCTAGCCAGTCCTGTGGTCTGGCTGACATTTTTGGGAGTTTTATACCCTGACATATAATGTGTGCTACAATATAATGCTTAACAGATGAGAGAACAATCGCAACACATCTGACACAACGATTTACTCGATGTGCAAGATGTCACAGAGCATCCGGTGCTCATATATAAGTAAAGACATTATAATGATGCTTCAATTACAAGAGCAATTATCCACCCACTTCATGCGAAGGTTATCACCAATTGTCTGGCCCTCAATGAGTTAACACCATAAACGCCCAGAATAGTGGAAAGTGTTGTGTCACTCTGAATCTTTACACATAGTCATAAACATTTGTCATGATTACCCATTAGCCCGTTTGTGTATTAGTTTGTTTGACGCCGCACCGAGCAATATTCCAGTTGTATGGCGGATATAATGGAGTCTGGTCCAGCCAATCCAATGATTAACATCATGAGCATCGATCTACGCAGTTAGGACACGGTGGCATGCATTAACCAAATCAGCGATCCCGTGTGTCGCCTCTTACGACAAGCACTGTCGCCTCTTTCGACAAGCTTGGGTTGCTGTAGGCTTTTTCTATACCCCGAATCTTCACGGGTCCATGACTGTTTATAATTAATATGACTTTTTATTATTCATATAATTTTAATTATACGTGCCTCCAGGTCTTTCCAGACATAACATGTTCCAGCTATATGACGGTTGTCTGTAAATAATCGAGTCTGGACCATACAATCCAGTGATTAATATCATGAGCATCCATCCCCGCAATTGGGATACGATGACATGCATCAACCAAGTCAGCGAGCCTGACCACCCGATCCCGTTAGTCGCTTTTTACGACAAACATAGTCACCTTTTACGGCAAGCATGGGTTGCTGAAGACCTATTCTACCCCGGAATCTTCACGGGTCAGATATTAAGGTATTCGTTTTGAAACAGTAGGAGACATTTTAATGTCTCGGCCTAAGCATTTCTTCTGTAGTTGACTCAGCGTAGATACATAATCTAAAGCTTATGGTTAAACTCTTGGACTTCAGTCCACCAAAAGGACATCGAACCAGTTCAAGTAAATACAAATTGGTAATGCAAGAGAATAGCCAGTCTAGATTATTCACCGAAACAGATTCCATTTGGCGCAAAGGGCAAAGTTTAAAGCTGTGAAAGTTATATAAATGGACCTTTGAAAATCAGTGATGACACTAGGTGTTCGCGAAAAGGTTAAGCATGTCCTGCCCTACCGGTAGCTTCTGACATTTACACAGCTGCAACGCCGACCACCAGTACTCCTGCCATGCGACGGCATGGCAAGCAAGATAATCTTTCCGTCTGGTCCCCTTGAGAAACCGGTTTTAGACTGCAGCGTTGACAGCTCGCGTTATCCCTGTACCCTCAGACACAAGGACTACACATCACTTTACAGCAGGACAGTGTACGCCCTCACAACAGACCTCGTTGGACAACATAACATCCCCACGCCCAATTGTGAATTGTTTTTGAGGAAGTGTAAAACATCGTTTATACCGACTCCCAAACTAACTGGTTACGTTTGTTGAGCTTCGACGGGCCTTGGTCCAGATCTGGAATGACACCCCACAAGACTTCCTCACTATCCTCTGCCATCAAGAAGGCGTCGTTGTCAAGCTTGTATTACTTCTAATGGTGGTACACAATACTGACTTGTTAGCTGGCAATTGCCCCATGCCACTTTCAGCCTGAGATTTCAGACATGAAGCAAATCTGAACATTAACACAGGTGCCTACTTTGGCGACTAGCTTTGCATAATTGTTTCCTAAAAGTGCATAATCCGCCCACAGGAATTCCTATGCCGATTGTGCTAACGGAAATATGAGGAATTTCCATGAGTGATTTTGGATCTGGTCGGTTAGATGTTAATGTACACAGACTATTATGTATTTGAGTTAAATGACTGTTAAATATTCGTTCAAATTTTGTTGTAGCGTTCACTCGTCACGCCGATGACCCGGATGCTATTCCTGACATTGGTACAATATGCGAAACCCATTTCTGGTGTCCTCCGCCGTGATATTGCTGGAATATAGCTAAAAGCTGAGTGAAATTATATTCACTCTCTCACGCCCATCAAATTTACTTGTAAACAGTATAAATACAGGAAAATAGGATAACTATAGGCGTTTAGGGTATTAACTCAATGAGGCCCAGATAATTGGTATGGCCTTTCGATGAAGTAACAGGATGATTTCTCTTGGAAATGACACGTAATTTTTTTCTTTTACCAGCATAGGGCCTTTAAACCCACCGGACACTCTGTGACATCAAGCACATAGAGTAAATCGTTGTCAGGATGAAGTTTGTGTCAGGATGTGTTGCGATTGTTCTCCTCTCATCTGGTAAGCATATTGTTGCACATTTTGATATGTACATGTATATTCTAGACTGAAGAGCCGACCCGTGAAGATTCGGGGTAGAATACGTCTTCAGCAACCCATGCTTGCCGTAAAAGGTGACTGTGCTTGTCGTAAGAGGCGACTAACGGAATCGGGTGGTCAGGCTCGCTGACTTGGTTGATGCATGTCATCGTATCCCAATTAGGTGGATCGATGCTCATGATGTCAATCACTGGATTGTCTGGTCCAGACTCGACTATTTACAGACCGCCACCATATAGCTGGAATATTGTTGAGTGTGGCGGTAAACAACAAACAAACAAAAACTGAAGAGCCGCAAAACGTTGCACAGGGTTTCAGACCTTACTCATGTCAGAAACCAATTGGCATTTATTCGAATCCCCTATTCGTCCTTATATTTAATCCCTTTTTTTTAAGGTTACGTGAAAGTCTCTTTCTTGATTAATCTCGAAATAACAGAAATATAACAGAAAACTTATCAAAGCGGCGTTTTTCTCATGCAAAGATTGCATCACAGCGACCACTTTGTTAAAATTGACGCTTGTTGACATTTATATGTCAGATGATCTTATCGTGAAATTTGATGTCTTGTAGTAGGCTTGTATCGAAACGTCTGGCAGCATGTATAATATTTATGAAGACACTGTTATTTGAATCCACTAAACTACAGCTTTGCTGCTCAATTATCCCCTTTTCCTTGATGCTAGGATATGAATCAGCATGCCAACTGCCTTGTGTTTAGGCATCCTGCCATGACCAAACATTTGAGATACATACCATATCACACATTTAAGCGTATCATCAGCGTATTGGTAAAAACTATAACTGACATATTATCTTGTTGAAGAATATATCACATTCATAAATGCATCGTCAAAATTATGTACAGACAATATCTGTCACAGCTCGTTAAAGAGTTTATCCTTGTCTGTGTTGATTTTCCAGTGTACGGTCTTGAGTGGCCTACAAGGAGAGAGAGTGACCCAGATTCAGATTTTGGTTGTCCAAGCACTACATGTGATAACGTGTATGCACCAATCATCATGATCATGGGAGGGCCAACTATGGCGGATCTAATCATAGATGGCAAACTGAGCCTTGACTGCAGGTTAGTATCACAATTCGTTTACAACATCTGTGAAAACAAAGAATTGTTCAGCTACTCAATCCGGTGCTCCAGCACCAGACTGAAGGACTGGACCTTCAGAAAAGGTGACCACAATCCTGGGTAATCTTTAACCTTATTTCATTACCTATCAATGAAATCCTCCCGGAGCCAAGTTTGTTTGTTTGTTTATAGCCGCCGAACTCCAGCAATATGACGGCGGTCTGTAAATACTCAATCTGGACCAGGCAATTCAGTGATTGACATCATGAGTATCGCTGCACGCAATTTTGATATGATGACATGCATCAACCAAGTCTGCGAGCCTGACCACCCGATCTCGTTAGTCGCCTCCAACGACAAGCATAGTCCCCTTTTACTTCAATCATGGGTTGCTGAAGACCTATGCTACCCGGATCTACACAGGTTCCGGGACCAAGTAGATTGCTGGAGAGTTGTTGAGTCACATACCTCACTTCCAACAAGGATATCAGCTTTATTTCAATAATCTATCAACTATCCAAAAGTCTAAAGTGTTATTGATGTCTTCTTTTGAAAGACTTGGAAGTGGACATGAACAGTGGTAATATATTGATAGTTCGATCGTTATGCTTATATAGTAGATGTTTTGTGAGGTGATAAGTCATTTTGTAAATATGACTTCTCATTTTCTAATCATAGCTTTGCTGTGACTGATACAACAGTTAGTAAGAACAGTTTGTGAAGATCCGGGTTAGAATAGGTCTTCAGCAACCCATGCTTGTCGCAAAAGGCGACTAACGGGATCGGGTGGTCAGGCTCGCTGACTTGGTTGATGCATGTCATCGATCCCAATTGCGTGGATCGATGCTCATGAAGTCAATCACTGGATTATCTGGTCCAGACTCGATTATTTATAGACCACCGTCACATAGCTGGAATATTGCTGTGTTCGGCGTAAAACAACAAACAAACAACCTAAATCATCAAGTCGATTAAATTGACATTATGCTACCTTTAAAATAGAAAACACAACATTTGAATATTAGGCAGAAGCACTTGTAATAAATCATGTTCTCTCTGCAGCGATCAGACACTGACCATCGCGGCGGAATGCCAACTCCCTTCAGCGGGCTGTACAGAAATTGATGTAATGCAGAAACTATTCCTTGTGTACACAACCTACTGCGACAACAAAACAGGTATACGCATTTCCAGTTTTCTTTGAGCAGTTTCTTTTAACACTTAGGCCATGTGTCACGACCCGTGAAGATTCCGGGGTAGAATGGGTCTTCAGCAACCCATACTTGCCGTAAAAAGCGACTATGCCTGTCGAAAAAGGCGACTTACGGGATCGGGAGGTCAGGCTCGCTGACTTGGTTGATGCATGTCATCGATCCCAATTGCGTGGATGGATGCTCATGACATTAATCACTGGGTCGTCTTGTCCAGACTCGATTATTTACAGACCGGCGTCATATAGCTGGAATATTGCTGAGTGCGGTGTTAAACAACAAACCAACCAACCAACCAACCCAGCCATGTGTCACCTTGATCATGAGTGACACGTTGATTCCTGAAAATAAATTGACATCGACAGTACTACAGTACTATTAACAAGAATACTTTGATTTACAAATGGTCATAACTCGAGCACACATGTATACATAATTATCAGATGTTATGTCCTTAGTTTTAGTTTATCATTTTTCTCTTTCACAGAAATTGAGGAGGAAGCGTCATGTTGGACCAGCCGTAACTTGCCTGGGGTTCTTAATTCATGTCGATATGAACACAGGTAGGGTGACTGTACAAGTGTCCATTCAAATCAACTGAATAAGAAAACTTTCGCGGTGAACTATACCTTGTGTACATCTGGATGTTTTAAGATAAGACATATAGAATGGTAAATCATAAAATACGTCCATCTAGAGGCCTGTTGATATGAGGGATTTAACATTGCGTTTAGAATGATTTCGCTTATAGAGAGCTCTTAAGATGAAAGAATGGTGGAAATTAACATAACATTCCAATACTGACAATCAAATTTCCTTCCTCACAAAATGGCGACCGTTCAACTTTGAATAGTGACAAACAATGCGTTTCCCGTTTTCCCGTATATGCGATCGTTAACAAACATTAATACATGTATGGGCATAGTAACGTTTGTAAGTCTAGGTAAAGAATAATCGCAGAAGTAGAATTCACTGATTCAAAGTGCGTTTCAGTGCCAGCCGTAATTACCGGAAGTTCAGACGATAAATAATTCACTGATTCAAAGTGACATTTCAGTGCCAGTCGTAATTACCGGAAGTTCAGACGATAAATATTCGTAACGTTTGACTTCACCCCCTCATCCATCACAACGTTAAATATCTGATTCGTTCTTGTTGGTATGTGACCTTTCAGGACATAGAAGGCAACCGATATATGATATCTGTACCTGGGAGAAATTTTTAGCACTTTCATAAAACTTCTTTCATGAATTAAAAGTGAATCTCTGCAAGAAACAAATCTGGTGTCAGTCATGGGTGTCAGTGCGCGTGCGGTAACGCAGAATTATGCGATTCTAAATTAATCATTCGATAAATATTTGAGTGATTGTCTAAACGTTGCCTTTTCAAACAGAACAGATCCGAAATGCCTCTAAAGAAAGGTCTAGAGGCCTAACCTAATGATAAGATACATGGGTAGGTGAACAGTAAAGTGTCTACCTCTGGAGGCCTTGTGATAAGATACATGGGAAGGTGAACTGTAAAGTGTTTACCTCTGGAGACCTTATGATAAGATACATGGGTAGGTGAACTATAAAGTGTCTACCTCTGGAGGCCTTATGAAAAGATACAAGGGTAGGTGAACTGTAAAGTGTCTACCTCTGGAGGCCTTATAATAACATACATGGGTGGGTGAACTGTAAAGTGTCCACCTCTGTAGGCCTTATAACAAGATACAAGGGTAGGTGAACTGTAAAGTGTCTACCTCTGAAGGACTTATGATAAGATACATGTATATGGGTAGGTGAACTGTAAAATGTCTACCTCTGGAGGCCTTATGACAAGATACAAGGGAAGGTGAACTGTAAAGTGTCTACCTCTGGAGGCCTAATGATAACATACATGGGTAGGTGAACTGTATAGTGTCTACCTCTGGAGGCCTTATAATAAGATACAAGGGTAGGTGAACTGTAAAGTGTCTACCTCTGGAGGCCTTATAATAAGATACATGGGTAGGTCAGTTGTAAAGTGTCTACAATTTGAGGCTTTATGATAAGATACATGGGTAGGTGAACTGTATAGTGTCTACCTCTGGAGGTCTTATGATAAGATACATGGGTAGGTGAACTGTAAAGTGTCTACCTCTGGAGGTCTAATGATAAGATACAACGGTAGGTGAACTATAAAGTGGCTACCTCTGGAGGCCTAATGATACGATACAAAGGTAGGTGAACTGTAAAGTGTCTACCTCTGGAGGCCTAATGATAAGATACATGGGTAGGTGAACTGTAAATTGTCTACCTCTGGAGGCCTTATGATAAGATACATAGGTAGGTCAGTTGTAAAGTGTCTACCACTTGAGGCTTTATGATAAGATACATGGGTAGGTGAACTGTAAAGTGTCTACCTCTGGAGACCTTATGATAAGATACATGGGTAGGTGAACTATAAAGTGTCTACCTCTGGAGGCCTTATGAAAAGATACAAGGGTAGGTGAACTGTAAAGTGTCTACCTCTGGAGGCCTAATGATAAGATACATGGGTAGGTGAACTGTAAATTGTCTACCTCTGGAGGCCTTATGATAAGATACATGGGTAGGTCAGTTGTAAAGTGTCTACCACTTGAGGCTTTATGATAAGATACATGGGTAGGTGAACTGTATAGTGTCTACCTCTGGAGACCTTATGATAAGATACATGGGTAGGTGAACTATAAAGTGTCTACCTCTGGAGGCCTTATGAAAAGATACAAGGGTAGGTGAACTGTAAAGTGTCTACCTCTCGATGCCTTATAATAAGATACATTGGTGGGTGAACTGTAAAGTGTCCACCTCTGTAGGCCTTATAACAAATTACAAGGGTAGGTGAACTGTAAAGTGTCTACCTCTGGAGGCCTTATGATAAGATACATGTACATGGGTAGGTGAACTGTAAAGTGTCTACCTCTGGAGGCCTAATGATAAGATACATGGGTAGGTGAACTGTAAAGTGTCTACCTCTGGAGGCTTTATGATAAGATACATGGGAAGGTGAACTGTAAAGTGTCTACCTCTGGAGGCCTTATAATAAGATACAAGGGTAGGTGAACTGTAAAGTTTCTACCTCTTGAGGCCTTATGATAAGATACATGGGTAGGTGAACTATAAAGTGGCTACCTCTGGAGGCCTAATGATAAGATACAAAGGTAGGTGAACCGTAAAGTGTCTACCTCTGGAGGCCTAATGATAAGATACATGGGTAGGTGAACTGTAAAGTGTCTACCTCTGGAGGCCTTATGATAAGATACATAGGTAGGTCAGTTGTAAAGTGTCTACCACTTGAGGCTTTATGATAAGATACATGGGTAGGTGAACTGTATAGTGTCTACCTCTGGAGACCTTATGATAAGATACATGGGTAGGTGAACTTTAAAGTGTCTACCTCTGGAGGCCTTATGAAAAGATACGTGGGTAGGTGAACTGTAAAGTGTCTACCTCTGGAGGCCTTATAATAAGATACATGGGTGGGTGAACTGTAAAGTGTCCACCTCTGTAGGCCTTATAACAAGATACAAGGGTAGGTGAACTGTAAAGTGTCTACCTCTGGAGGCCTTATAATAAGATACATGTACATGGGTAGGTGAACTGTAAAGTGTCTACCTCTGGAGGCGTAATGATAAGATACATGGGTAGGTGAACTGTAAAGTGTCTACCTCTGGAGGCTTTATGATAAGATACATGGGAAGGTGAACTGTAAAGTGTCTACCTCTGGAGGCCTTATAATAAGATACAAGGGTAGGTGAACTGTAAAGTGTCTACCTCTTGAGGCTTTATGATAAGATACATGGGTAGGTGAACTGTAAAGTGTCTACCTCTGGAGGCCTAATGATAAGATACATGGGTAGGTGAACTGTAAATTGTCTACCTCTGGAGGCCTTATGGTAAGATACATGGGTAGGTAACTGTAAAGTGTCTACCTCTGGAGGCCTCATGATAAGATACATGGGTAGGTGAACTGTAAAGTGTCTACCTCTTGAGGCTTTATGATAAGATACATGGGTAGGTGAACTGTAAAGTGTCTACCTCTGGAGGTCTAATGATAAGATACATGGGTAGGTGAACTGTATAGTGTCTACCACTGGAGGCCTTATTATAAGATATATGGGTAGTGGAACTGTAAAGTGTCCACCTCTGGAGGCCTTATGATCAGATACAAGGGTAGATGAACTGTAAAGTGTCTACCTCTGGAGGCCTTATGAAAAGATACAAGTGTAGGTGAACTGTAAAGTGTCACCTCTGGAGGCCTTATAATAAGATACATGGGTAGGTGAACTGTAAAGTGTCTACCTCTGTAGGCCTTATGATAAGATACATGGGTAGGTGAACTGTATAGTGTCTACCTATGGAGGCCTTATAATAAGATACAAGGGTAGGTGAACTGTAAAGTATCTACCTCTTGAGGCTTTATGATAAGATACATGGGTAGGTGAACTGTAAAGTGTCTACCTCTGGAGGTCTAATGATAAGATACATGGGTAGGTGAACTGTATAGTGTCTACCTCTGCAGGCCTTATTATAAGATATATGGGTAGGTGAACTGTAAAGTGTCCACCTCTGGAGGCCTTATGATCAGATACAAGGGTAGATGAACTGTAAAGTGTTCACCTCTGAAGGCCTTATAACAAGATACAAGGGTAGGTGAACTGTAAAGTGTCTACCTCTGGAGGCCTTATGATAAGATACATGTACATGGGTAGGTGAACTGTAAAGTGTCTACCTCTGGAGGCCTTATGATAAGATACAAGGGAAGGTGAACTGTAAAGTGTCTACCTCTGGAGGCCTAATGATAACATACATGGGTAGGTGAACTGTATAGTGTCTACCTCTGGAGGCCTTATAATAAGATACAAGGGTAGGTGAACTGTAAAGTGTCTACCTCTGGAGGCCTTATGATAAGATACATGGGTAGGTCAGTTGTAAAGTGTCTACCTCTTGAGGCTTTATGATAAGATACATGGGTAGGTGAACTGTATAGTGTCTACCTCTGGAGGCCTTATAATAAGATACAAGGGTAGGTGAACTGTAAAGTGTCTACCTCTGGAGGCCTTATTATAAGATATATGGGTAGGGGAACTGTAAATTGTCTACCTCTGGAGGCTTTATGATAAGATACATGGGTAGGTGAACTGTAAAGTGTCTACCTCTGGAGGCCTTATGATAAGATACATGGGTAGGTCAGTTGTAAAGTGTCTACCTCTTGAGGCTTTATGATAAGATACATGGGTAGGTGAACTGTATAGTGTCTACCTCTGGAGGCCTTATAATAAGATACAAGGGTAGGTGAACTGTAAAGTGTCTACCTCTGGAGGTCTTATGATAAGATACATGGGTAGGTCAGTTGTAAAGTGTCTACCTCTTGAGGCTTTATGATAAGATACATGGGTAGGTGAACTGTATAGTGTCTACCTCAGGAGGTCTAATGATAAGATACAAGGGTAGGTGAACTATAAAGTGTCTACCTCTGGAGGCCTAATGATAAGATACAAAGGTAGGTGAACTGTAAAGTGTCTACCTCTGGAGGCCTAATGATAAGATACATGGGTAGG